CTGAGCCTAGATATCAAGAGGCCTTGTAGCTTCTGCACTTGCCCTTGAGACTGTCATGTCAAGAAGCCTAGATTAGTCTTCTTGAGGATAAGTGACAATGAGATGACAAAACCATCACTAACCACCATACATGTGGGTAAGGTCATTTTAGATCATCCAGGCCTTAGGTTGCCATCAGATAACTGTAGCTGCATGAGTGACCATAAGCACAACCAGAAGAACCTTTCAGCCAAACCAAACCAACTAGCTGACCCACAGAATCATGAACAAATAAAATATTTGCTTTTTTTAAGTCACTCACTTTTGAGATGGTTTGTTATGCAGCAATAGACCACTGATGCAAGAGCCCAGGAAGGAATCTTTAGAAACTCCAGTATTTAAATATTGGATAGAAAAACAAAAGCTGGCAAAAAAAAAAAAAAGTGGTCACCAAAGAGACAGGAAGAAAAGTAGAAAGGTATAGTGTCACAGCAACAGGAATTGACCCACAGAAACCAAAGATTGTTTCAAGAATAAGGGAATGCCGAAAATGTCAAATATGGCTGAAAGGTCACATCAGAACAGGTGAAAATTTCCTGTTGTATTTAATGATATGAAGGGGTAATCACTCAGTGACATTTGGGGCAGAGGGAAAATTGATACGTTCAGTTTTAGACAGGTAGAGTTTGAGATGCCTATGGGATATCTAAGTACATCTGCCCAGCATGTAGTTAGATTATATGAGCCTGAAGCTCAGTGGAAAGTTTAGCACAGTAGGCAGGTCCGTGATAAAGCCATTAGTGTGGATGTGATCCCCAGGGAGACTGTGTAAAGTGAGAAGGGGAGAGGATCTTGGGGGCACACCAAGGTTTTAGAGGGGGAGCACACCAAGGTTTTAGAGGGTGGGCACAGGCGGAAAACACCGCAAAGAAGCCCATGAATGAGAAGAACTAAGAGAAAGAGGTGTAGGAAAGGAAAAAGAATAGTGTTTCAAAAAGGGGTGAAAAGTAAGTCTGTCAAATGCAGCAGAGAGCTATAGTAGGTGAGAACCAGAAGGTCCTCTCATTGAATCTGACACCATTTGCCAGGGCAAATGTTTCAGCAGCACTGAGCAGACAGAGCCAGGAAAGGTAGTTGAGCAATGACTGAAAATCAGAATATGGATGCTGATATGTGACAAGAATCCACAAATAGAGAAGAGGACACTGTCAAGTGCCAAGTGTTTTGTTTTTTGATTAATTTTGTTTTTTTGTTTTAAGGCTATGTCACTTAAGCTTGTTTATTAATTTAGGGGGAAAAAAAACAGGGTTACACTGTAATGGAATATTTTCCCAGCATTTTCTTTTCCAGCTTTCATGAAAAATTCTACTTATACTTAGTTTTTGCAGTATCACCCTTCATCTCAATATATAATTGGTTAAATTAAAATTCCCAGATTTATTTGCTTTTTCCATTAACATTTTAGATTAGCTGATTCCTGATTAAGTTGGAAAGGGACAGGGTATTTTTCTCACTTGGAGCTATCTTCAAATCTAGAGGAGGTACCCAGTATTCCAGGAGTCCCCAAATGATGCTAAGAAAAGAAGTGAAATTCCCTGGTCAAGTAAATTTGAGAAAAGCTATACATTAAAATATCTTTCTCTGAGAGACTGACCCAAAGTATATTAGCATATTAAAGCCTCTGAGACTTCCTACATTAAACAACAACAACAAAACCCTGTTTAAAAGTTTACAAACAAATTCATTTCCCCCTGGGGACTGCTTTTTCGCTGCATGTTATTAACATAGCACAAGAATTTCCCCTTAACACCAGTTTAGGAAACCCTGCTGTGGCAAATTGATTCTACCTATGTTCTGTGGATTGTTAGATTTTAAATAGAGAGATTCTCCATCTTATCTCCAGATTTAGTGATTCGTGTTACATCCGGGACTTGGAGCCCTCCCTAGACTATCTACAGTGAACAATAGTGGTGACACCACCAATTACCTTGGGGACCCCTTTGTAACCAACACCAGGGCTGGGGAAATTAACAAAAGATTGGACTGAGGATAAAGACTGGTTGAGGAGAGGTCAGCAAGAGACAACATCTGTAATTAAGGTTAATGAAATTTCCTATTCTGTTAAAGAATTGGTAATTTATTAGAAACCTTGCCAGCAGGATGTGAGTTGAAGACAGGATCAAAGTGCCTCCTTATTTGTCTGGAGGAAGCAATCAACTAAACTACAATCACCTTAATAAGACACACAATTGGAGATGGTAACATATTTTTGAAGTTCTGATGAACTAAAGAATCATGATATAATGCCCGTAGAAATGGGTGATTGACATTATGGGCTGAAAAGGGGGAAATTATGGAGCACAAATATGTCAGTGTGGCAGTGTGCTGTCTTCCAGCATCACTCAGGGGACAATTCGAGTCAGGTTGGTCCCAGTATGAACCCAGTATGAACCCTGCCAGCCAACCTTCCCCTTCCATTCTTGTTTAAAGCAATTATTTAGGTACAACCAACCTTTTTTAAAAAAAGATTGCTATTTCACATATATCCTAGTATTTAAATTCATCCACACATCGAGAATTAGAAGACAATCATCATTTACATGAGGCCTAAAATAACAATGTTTTGGCTCCAGGCTCCCTCTACTGTCTCTGCAATAATAAACAAACATTTTATGGCATTCTGTTGACTAGATTCCAGAATAGATTCCAGAATTTATGAAAGTCAAAGCAAACACAATCTTGTGCCATAATAAAGGAAATCGTTATTATGATAATCAGGAAGTTCAATATTTGGAGAAAGTTGAACACGTATAAACTAGTTAATGAAATATTTATTTAGATAGAACCACATGAAGTTGTCATTTGGCTATTTTAAATCCACAAATGTCAATTTCATATGCTGCAACCTTACATATAAACATTTGTCAAAGAATAGTAGGGGAGAGGGTGTGGTGTGTGTTGGGGGTGGTTCATTGATTTTAATAAATCTTTATTATGAAATTCCTTAAATACATTGGTTAATTTACATGATGTTTCTTGACCAAAATTAAATACAGGGTACATTAAGTTCAGTACCATACAGGAATTGTGTATATTATAACTTGGGTTTACAAGAAAGAAATCGGCCTTCAAGTTAAAAAGTGTGAAGATACAAAGTGTTTCACACAGGAAGGTAAATGAAAGAAATGCAGAAAAGCCATATGTTTACAAGAGGAAAGCTAGAAATAAAAGTTAACATTTTAACCATGTGAGGAGGAAGTAGGGCAATTTGCATAGACTTCAAACAATCTCACACTATTGAGAAAACCTGCAAATCCTGGAAAGAATTAGAGGTAAAAGCCAAAGTCAATACACTTCAAATGCCCTTGATGTTTCACAGTCACTAACGAGAAAGCATCTTCTGGGTAAGTTCACACTTTGCACAAAATAAATATTAAATCTGTTGTTGGTAATTTTCCAAAAAGTTAATATTTTACAGTTCAGAATTTTATTTAAGTTTGCCTTTGAAGCAGAACAAATGCCTTTTGAAGTCATGTTTCCATAGTTTTAGGAATTCAGTCTAAGAATGAAAGATGCCATCAAAAATTTATTTACAAAGATGTTCATCAAAACCTTACATGTACAGTTACTGTTCACCACTTAAGTCTTATGCCTAACAGAGCACCTAGCATGTAGTAAGCACTCAATAAATATTCTTCAAATTTCCAAATTGGTGACTGGTTGAGTAATTATAGGCAAATCATGGTTTATACATATTATATGGCAAGTAAAATATTTTGAAGACTTAAAGACGTTGGGGGAAATGTGAAGACACTGGAGAGAATTGTAAGCAAATGGGATAACAATGTGTCCACTATCTAATATGAATCTTATAAAGTAAATATATATGGACACAAAAAGGCTAAAATTATTGATTGAAGTGATTTTTATTTTTTCCTTTGTGTTTCTCTGTGTTGCAAACTCTATTATTATGTATTACTTTTATAATCAGAAAAACACTGTTATTTAAACATTTTTATGATTTTCTGCTAACATTGAGATCTGTAATAAAAATGTATCCATTAGAAACTGTGGAGTTTAATAAAAGGCAGTTGTTGTGGAGTGATTCAATATTTGTATAACAGTGTTTGGCTTTTCCCTATCACTTTGTTAGAACAAACCCTTACTGGATAGATACTTTTGGTAATTCATTTAGTAGCCTTAATGCATGAGTCAGAGCTAAACTGTGATCGAGTTTTGAGTGTTATACCAATAACTTCTGTACAAAAGTGACAGATAGGCAAGCTATTTCTAAAGTTATACAGACAATGATGAAACATATTGTTTTTACGTCAGAGAGATACAAAATAATCATTACGTGTTGAAATAGGCACGGGGCCACACACTTTACCTAAATGATCCTTAATCTTTACGGCTACCCTTTATTCATATATATATTTTAGAAGTAGTAATAATAGCTAAAAGTTATTGATCAATTATCATGTGCTAGGCTCTGTGTCAGGGGCTTATTTTTCTTTCATGTTTTGAGCTATTGGGGCATATTATCCCCACTTTACACTTGAAGATCCTGAGGCCCAAGGCGGAAGCCAGATCTAACCACTCCTTCATGTGGAGAAAATACTTTTATTCCCCAAGGTCATTAAACCATTTTTGTCCCTTCTTTCGGGAACAATAAATATTGAAAACACTGCGTTCTACAAATGGACTTGATCTGTTGGTGGAAGAGGGGTAGGAAAAGGAAGCTTAATCAGTTAAAGTTGAGGTTTTCTTACTTTTCTTGAAGTAGGACAATGGGAATAGCTAGTCAGACATTACCTATTTATCAGTACAAAGCAAACTCATCAAAACTAATGTTTTCAAACATATTGGTCAAGAAGGTGGCTCAGTTGGTTAGAGTGTGAGCTCTGAGCAAAAGGGTTGCTGGTTGATTCCCACATGGGCCAGTGAGCTGCGTCCTGCACAACTAGATTAAAGACAATAACTTGAGCTCAACTGCCGCTGAGCTGCAGTTGGGCAGCCGGATGGCTCAGTTGGTGAGAGCCCTTTGGCAGTTTGACACCTGCACGGGATGGTGGGCTGCGCCTCCCCGCAACTAGATTGAGAATGGTGACCTGATTTGGAGCTGAGTTACACCCTCCACAACTAAGATTGAAGGACAACAACTTGACTTGGAGCTAATGGGTCCTGGGAGAAACACACTGTTCCCCAATAAAGTTAAAAAAAAAAAAGGTATTGGTCAAGAAATGTAATGAATTTCCCTTTTCCTTGTTTGAAAGAAAAGTCTGCAAATTTCAACCTCAACTATATAAAGATGTTCCTATAATAGAGGAGGTGGTGATTTGCTATGTCATTATCAAACTAGAGATGGATTTGTCGGTGACCTCCTTGAGTTCTCCAAAGTACTTCCATTCTGGCTTTTTTCCTTTGCCTCCTCCTTCCTTCCATCCAGGGTTCCAAGGAGATTTACAGTGAATGTGGACAGATGATTAAGAAAATTTAAAAATAACGTAACTTCTGTATACTCTTTGTTCCTGAAATGGTCCAGCTGGTTCTATTTTTATAATAATAAAATAAATTAAATTAAAAATTGTCATTTATTAAGCACCTTCTACATGTCAGACCGAGCTTTATACATTTTATGTCATTTGAAGCTGACAACCATCTACAAAGGCACATATTCCCTGAGGGCACCTAACTCCAGAGGTTAAATAGCAATTATACTTCATATCATGGCTATTCAGTGAAATTCGAATCCAGATTTCATTCCAACAAACGGGCTTCCTTCAAAAACGTTGCCTGGCAACAAATCGATCCTAGTGACTTCCCCCATCAAGTGGAGAAAAACAAACTTCCTAGAAGCCAAGATTGAAGGACAATTAGAATTTTCTAATAGAAATTCTCCCCTATCTCCTGTGACCAAAGCAGTTATTTAAGCAGTAAAACCTCCCACGGCCAATGTCAATTCCACCCGGGACTTGGCCCCGGCTGGTGGCAGAGGAGGGTCCCTAGTTCTAATCACTCGAATCTGATTCTCCAGGCTACCTCAGGCTTAAGGACCAAGTCCTGCAGCGAACATTTGTTCATTTATATCCAGGGACAACCCTCTCTCCCAGCTCAAGACTTCTTTTACTCCACGAGTTTAAAACACTAACGAGGCCACGCCGCCCTTTTCCCTCTTCCCGTCAAGAATAGGATCAGGTACCGACAACGATATTTCAATTCCCTTCCCCTTCTACCCTTCTCAAAGTAACCGGTACGCGTGCGGACGTGCGATTTAGGGTGTATGCACCAAGCTCCCGGCGCGGCGGGACCCCTAGAATCGCGGGGCACTCTCCTATCACCGTCTCTTGCTTGGCCCTTCTTTGACTCCACCAGTTGGCTAGCACCCCGCTGCACCCTCGCCTTGCCCCAGCCTCTCCGCCACGCCCCCTCAGCTGGACCCCAAGCGCGGCCCGACCCCTCCCCGTCCTTCCAAAGGCTCCTTGAGCTCGCCCCACCCCAGCCCCGCCCCTTCCGCCTCTACCCAGAACAGCGCCCTGGGCTCTGACTGCTTGCGGTATCGTCTCCATGGCGACACAGCGTCTAAGGTTCCACGCTTCGAAACACGCGCAAACCTCTGAGGGCCTGGCATTTGGTGACAGCCTCGCAGGTGATTGGCGTGAGAGGGCCACAAGCGGGTAAGAGACACCGCGGCGACTGCCAGTCTCCCTCTCCCTATCCCCGCGTGCAGCCCGACTCAACTCTCACCTCGGAAGTCCCCAGACCTGACGCCTGAGCCCGCGAACTTTTCTTCACCCTCCAGGGGAGGATTCTGGGGCCGAGGCAGCGCGCGAGAAGGTAGGATCCGCGCGGCTGGAGATGCGCCTCGCACTTAGCTTCCTCTTCTGGCTGCAGTTGAGCGCTCCTCAGCGATGTTAGTCTCCACGTGGGTGTGAGTGATAACGGGGCAGTTCTGACAGCGTGTCTTCTTCACCACATACCCTGACCTGCCGATTCCCACGCTCCAACTAACTCCCCTTCTCCGCCCCCCCGCCCCCAAAATGAAAATAGCCACGTTCCATCTTGGGGCTTCTGGCCACTTCCCTCGGTCCTTGCCCTGCCTCCCTTTAAAAATGTTTTTCTTTTCACTTGTTTTTGGAAACAGGTTAATGGCCAATAGGAGCGAGCATTCACTGGCTGTGGTTAAGACGTCATTACTCTCTAGACATAACTCGCTCGGCCATAAAAAAATGTCGGTGGAATTTGCACAAATTATTTTCCTGGGGCCTTGTTTTCATCTTCTGTAAAATGAGGGGCTTGGACAACAGATCACTTGTAAGGTTCAGTCTTCAGCCTTGAGATGACGAAATTGACCTGATATTTCTAAATTCATATTGTGCTCTTTTGACAACTTAAACTACACTGCGCCCTGTAGCAATTAAATTAACACATGGCATAATTATACATTTATCATTTGACTTCCCAGAGGGCATAGGTTAATTGGATGAATCTGTTCTTCCCCCTGGAAGTTATTTTTTTTAAATAAAGCTGAAAAAGACACTGAACATGTCTTTTAATTTGTTTCATTCTCTTAAAAACCCAAATACAGTGATCCCCAAATCCGTCTTGTTATTTTTTTTTTTTCTAATTGGAGTTATTTTTTCAAAGTCAGGAAAACAACAGCACTGCTCTTTCAGCGTTAAAAGTTTACCAGACCTGAATTCCAACACCTTTGTGTGAATTTGCACTGCACTACAGTATTCCAGAGCTTTCTACCACCACCTTTGAGCGCAATCTTTTTTCCCCCCTTCTATGCCCCATCCAGTCTCAATTGTGCACTTAGATGTGCCTTTCTTAAGTCAGAGTTCACCTTCAGTGCTCTCTTTGCTAGGCTATAGGTAATAATAACAATAATAGGAGGAGGAGTTGTAATAATTGTAATTGTAGTAGGAGATAGGTACTACTATGATTTATTATTAGCTATTTATAGTAACCCTCACAATAACTCTCTATGAGGCAGGTTGTATTTTTACCCTCATTTCACAGGTGAGGAAAGTAAATCATAGAGGGGCTAAGGAACTTGCTCAAGGTCACACAGTTTGCTGGGATTTGAACATAGGCAATCTGACTCCAGAGTCTGAGCACTACATTGTGTTGCAAAGGAAATATACAAAATCTATATATAGTCACTTTTAAATATGAGTGTAAGTGATAGATGATTATTGAAACCATTTTATACACATTTGAGCTATGCAATGAAATAGTGCCCCATGTCCTATTATGTTTCCCCATTAAGCTCTAGAATGGAGGATAGTGCTTAATCAGCTCTGTCTTTCCTCACCACAGTTGCAGGGCCTGAGCATGTAGCTGTCTATGAATTCATTCTTTGCCTATTAGTATACAAGATAGCTTATAAAAACAAGTAGCACAAAAGGATAAAATAATTGCACAAGTTGGATGAAGAAAAAAATATGTCTTCCAATACTACAAGAAAAACCTAACATAAGAGTTTTTGGTGGTTTTTTTTTTTTAACTTTATTGGGGAACAGTGTGTTTTTTCCAGGACCCATCAGCTCCAAGTCAAGTTGTTGTTTTCAATCTAGTTGTGGAAGGCGCAGCTTGCTGGCCCATATAGGAATCAAACCGACAGCCTTGGTGTTAAGACCGTATGCTCTAACCACCTGAGCTAACCAGCTGCCCCCCAAAATAAGAATTTTTTGAAATCTAACTTTAAAAGTCAGTGACTCATTTTATAAAAGTTTTTTTTTGAAGCCTGTAGAATCCAAATAAAACCGGTTTGGCCCAATGGCTACTGGCTAGTGAACACTTACTTAGAGGAGTGGGGGTACTAGATGTTTTACATTCTTTTTTTTGGTACTAAATATTTATTGTCCAGTGTGCATATCTCAAATTGAACACATTTCAAGTTCTCAGTGGCCACACGTGGCTATTGGCTACCATATTGGACAGTGAAGCTCTAATTTAATACGTTATTTTCTTGTTTCCTTCCTTCTTCTTCCATTCACTCAACAGATATTTATTGAACACCAGATTATATGACATGGAGTGCAGTAGACACTAGAGATTTTTTTTTAAAGGTCACTTGAGTTTATCTGTTCTTTATAACCAAAAAAACCACTGTGTGAACTAATTGGGCCCTTGACTGGGATTTTTGATTGTCGAGAATCAATTTTTCCTCAAAGGCTGGAACTACATCACATAAAACTCAAGAATTGCTGGAAGCCCTGTTTTGTATCATGTGTTGGAAATCTGTCTGCAGTGAGAGACAATGAGGACCACATGCAGGAAGAAGCTGAGATGAACAAGGGAAAGTGCCCCTCCCCGCCCCGGCTTGAACACAGCTGTATCCACTGTGTCCTGACTTCCACACAGCTTGGGTATTCAACTCTTGGGTTCTATGAGCCATTGCTTATCTTTTTCTTTTTTGCGTAAACTAACGAGCATGCAAACAAGAGTTCAAACTAATATAGCTAAGTAGACAAGAACCAATTACTTTTTTTTTAGAAATGAGCCTATGCTGACCCCACCCTGGCCCCCAAAGTACATTTTCATTTACATAAAACAGAATATTTTCAAACATATTTAATCACAGTTATGTCTTTACAAATCATTTTGTCATGCACAATGTATATACTTATTTAACCAGACACATTTTCTGATTAATACTACCCATCTCTTTATATAAATCTTTCAATACTTTTTTTTCTTAGAAATAAATCTATATCTCCTTTTCCTCAACTCTTTCCTCAGAATCATCCCTCCCAAATCTATGGGCCTTTCTTTTGAATTATAAGAGCATTCTAAGTCAATTAAGTTACTTTATATCATTCCAATGATTTTATAATTCCATCAATATCTGAGTACCTTTAAAGTGGTGTGGGACCCACACTCATGGATAAGAACCAGTTTGTGCTCTCAAGCAACTTCCATCCTAGCAATGCAGTCATCCCACCATGCTGTAGTTATCTGCCTACATATTCCTTATTTGCATATCCTTGACTGATTCTTTTCCTCCCCCTGCTTCTTAAATATTGGTGTTTCCCAAGATTCCATCCTTGGCCTTGTCTTATTCTACATGGGCCATGCCATCCATTCTCATTTTTTTTCCAGCTACCCCATCCATCATCATTTCTCATGAGTTCTAACTCCCTTTTCAATAGAATAGAACAACACTTGATTTCATATGACCTATAGGTATCTCTAACTCAGAATTTCCAAAACCAAACTCATTATCTCCTAGAATGTGCTCCTTCCCTGGTGCCCTCATCCTAGTCATCCAGGCTGGAATCGTCAAATTCTCGTTCTTTTCCCTCACTTCTGTGTCCAGTAACTCTCAGTTTCACCTCTCTTGTTCCAAGTGTACCTTCCTGGCTTTGTACATTATCATCTTTTCCCTAGACTAGGGTTTGGCAAACTTCTGTAAAGGGCCAGATAAGAAGTACTTTAGGCTTTGTAAGCCATACGGTCTTTGTCAAAACTATTCAACTCTGCCATTGTAGTTTGAAAACTAGCATTGACAATGTGCAAACAAATGAGCATGTTTGTGTCCTGGTAACATTTCATTTACAGAAGTAGGCAGTGAGTCATGCCTGGTCTGTGGGTGGTAGCTTGCCAACCCCTGCTCTGGACCATTGTAGTAGCCAATTTTTTTTATTTTTTTAAAAGATTTTATTGGGCAATTGGGGGAGGGAACAGTGTTGGGAATCGGGGAAGGGGAACAGACAAGTTGCTGTCCTTTTTGTTCTTCAGTCTAGTTGTGGAGGACATCGCTTCACTGGCCCATGTTGGTATTGTCATCATTGTGCTCTTCCCGGCTGAGGCAGATTGGTCACCGGCCACTGGACGGCCACTCACAGCGGCTCACAGCAGCTCATGCCAGCTGCCAGCCGCTCATGGTAGCTCATGGCAGCCCACTGCAGCCGCACTGCAGCAGCCTATGCCGTCACCAGCGACTCATGGCAGCCCAGCTCCAGGTCCAGCTGTCATTCACCATCTTAGCTGTAGAGGGCTCAGTGTCACTGGCCCATGTGGGATCCGAACCGACAGCCCTGCTTCTCAGAGCTCACGATCCCAAGCCAACTCTTAACCTGCAGTAGCCTCTTAACTGGTCTCCCTAACACCCATTCTCTCTCAGATTTACCCTCCACAGAATTTCAAAGTCTTGGTTCGCTTTCCATTGCCTACTGGTTAAAGCCCAAAATCCGTATAGCACGTGACTTTTAAAATTTGCTCCCACATAGATTTCCAATTTCATCTCTTGCCATTCTCTAACACACTGCTGGACTTCTCTTCCTCTTTTGTTGACTGACTACTTGGTCTTGATTTGGTTAAATAAATGCCAG